ACAAGAGGATGTACCTTGGTGTATGCTTTTTGCTGATGATATTCTTCTCGTGGATAAAACGAGAGAAAAAGCCCAGGAAAAACTTGAATTATGGAGGTCTACATTGGAGTCTAAAGGCCTTCGTTTAAGTAGAACTAAAACTGAATACATAAAATGTAATTTTAGTAGTAATAGCTCTAGTGACAGTAGTGTGGTTTTGGGTGATCAAATTATTAAAAGGTGTGAACGATTTAGATATCTTGGGTCCGTTGTCCAAAGCGATGGTGATATAGATGGGGTGTTAATAGTAGAATTCAAGTTGGTTGGTTGAAGTGGAGGAATGCTTCGGGTCTTTTGTGTGATAGAAAAGTACCGCTAAGACTGAAAGGAAAATTTTATAAGACGGTTGTGAGACCTGCAATGCTCTATGGCGCTGAATGTTGGCCTTTAAAAAGAAGCATAATAATAAGTTATGTGTTGCCGAGATGAGAATGTTTAGGTGGATGAGTGGTTTTACACTTAGAGACAAAATGCGGAATGAATATATTCGTGATAGGGTTGGTGTAGCTCCTGTGACAGACAAAATTAGAGAAAGTCGTCTTAGATGGTTTGGTCATATTAATCGCCGACCATTAGATGATTCGATTAGGAGAGTAGATGTTTTAAATTCGACTAGTGCTAAGAAAGGCAGAGGTAGACCTAGGAAGACTTGGGCTTATTGTATTAAAAATGATCTTAATTTACTAGAACTAAATAGGACGCAATGGAGAAAAAAGATTCATGTAGCCGACCCCACGTAGTGGGATTAAGGCTTTGTTGTTGTTGTTGTATAGATATATAAATATTAAAATAATTTGTTGTAAGAATATAAATCAACTAAAAGTATAATTTATAATAATTAATAAGAATAAAGTATTTACAACATGAAAATTTTAAATTTTAAAATATTATTATAATATTCATGTATTTTGCAGCCCATTTAATATTTTTAAAGTTCATTCAATCCTTCATTTTTGCAGCCCAATTTATTTTTCAGTACTGTTGTCTTGTAGTTCCATATTATGGAGAAAACTTGTTATTTCATTGATTATATTCTATGGCTTGAGCTTCTAAATCACTTACGTTATGGGCTTATAATGAATTAGTTTGATAAAGCTCCTATTAATTATTACATTTAAGATTTTTAAATTTATAATTATATGTTTATAACTTATAGAGTTATAGTCTTGTATAAAATTTTGTAAGGGTTTAATTGAAAATTAAAGATAATTAAATAGGTAATTTAAACCAATAGCTTTTATATAATTGTGACCGGTGCTTAGTTTGCTTGTTCAACCATCGCTTTATGCCATTTTTCTCCGGTTGGATGCGAAATTTTTTTTTTTGAGGTTACCTGAATTGGCCGTATGCCTGGTTCATGACGGAGCCAGTTTAGTCTGATTTTTAAAACTGTGGTTGAAAGTCATAAAGATCCATTCTTTCTTTTTTGTGAAGAAAATATGATTACAGAGGTTTGTCGGAATTAAAAGGATCAAACAAATAAGGGTCTGAGAATAATAACCTGACTAAAACAATTGCTAGACAGTAGTTTTGCTAACCATTAGTGATCCTATTTATACAGTTTTGGAAGGGATATTTTGATAAATTGAACCAAAATCCCTAACTCGTATAAGACTGTCCATGTTGATTCCTATGGTCATTTATTATTTTTTAAGCACAGGTGAAAACATGAAAGTTTATGCGTGAGATATGCAAATACAAAAGAATTGTATGCTAAGTAAATCTATATATCGCCCAATTCCCATGTATTTCTACATATCTAACACCTAAATTTCTCTTTTTATATTTATACCATCCAAATTGTTCATATCACAACAAAAATATTGCCATTGTAACCTTTAAAAAGAGAAATGCACCTTGTCATGCAAAGGTATGGTGGTATTTATATATGTTTGTACCCAGTAATTGAGTGTTATGTGGGTAGATCTTCCTCTTTTTTTTTAAATCTCCCCTACACACTCATAAGTCTTGAATAGACTATCTTATGATTAGAGACAAAAGCACTGTATCATTAGGAAGTGGGCTGCTGAGGTGATTTGCAGGTCTTATAATGATGATGCTTCCTAAAATTGAGCTGTGGCTCACTTTCCAAGATTTAAAAAAAAAAAAAAATGGAAACTCAAAATTCTGACATAATTTCTTAGCTGAAGCGTAAATTATTTTGCAGGTGGACTAGATGAGCCTTTATACAGACCCTATATCGTAAGAGACTGGCGATTCGGGCACTATGAAATGGATGGATTGCAGGATCCATTAAGCAGATTGTGGAGATCAATCACTGCACCAATAAGAAGAAAGAAGAGAGCTAATGCGTTTGAAGAAGATGATTTTGGGGCTCCGGGTTATCTCGCCTTTTGATGTTCCAACAACATTGTGTTCCATCATTAGAGTTGCAAATGAACCGAGTGTTTGACAAGCTACATGTAACTCGGCTCGATCAAAGCTCGTTCGTGTTTCGTTGATTAACTAATTGAACAAATTTGAACACTTTTTATAAATGTTTAATTATTAAATGAACAAGCTTGAGATCTTCTTGTTTGATTTGTTTGTTTAAAGGTTGGGAACAACCTTGTTAATAAGCTCAATGAACAGGTTCATTTAAAGTTTATTTAAGCATGTGAATAAACTCAATTAAAGCTCAATTTAGAATTTATTTATATTAGTTTAAATTATTATTTTTGTATAGTACATATAATAAGTTAAACAACCTATTTATTTAGTTTATTTATTTATGTATTTATATATTTATTTTAGTTATTCATTTAATACTTAATTCATTAAAAACTCAGTTATTTTTACAAGATAAATATCTCATTTATAAATTTGATAAAGTTAGTTTGATTAGAAAATAAATAGTTCAATCATGTTATTTATCATTTTGTCCAATAAGCTTTATTTAGTTAGAAAATAAATAACATGATAGTATTAATTTTAATTTGCTTAATAAAAGTTGTTTGGATAGAAATTAATGTGCCCAATTTATTCACTAATAATAATTTGATTGTCATCATATAACAAACAAGAAAAAAATTGTAATAAAAACTAAGTTTGAACTTAAACACAATTCAATTAGAGCTTGAGCTCGACTCGAGCTCAAATTTGAACACAGCGCTAAAAACTCGATTTGACCTCGAACTTGAATTTTATAGACAAATGCAAGCTCAAAAAACAACTCTGCTTGACTCGGCTCAATTCCTTTGCATCCCAACATCAGACTCGCAGGTGAGGGGGTTGGAAGATAAAGACTGCAAATTCTGCCTGATCTCTGTTTATTTATTTATTCATTTTTGTATCTATCAGTAATTATTGTCTAGTTTTTAATTTTTTTGTGGCAGTATATATGTTTCTGAAGGAAATCACTTTGTATTTTATGATAACATTAGTTCTGTTTAGCATATATATATATATATATATATAATTAAATTTATAGCACTGAAAAATTTTTTATTTACAAAACTAGCAGTAAGACTGTTTGAACTACTGAATCACCGCATTTATATGTGTCATGATCAAAGTAACGGGAATTTGATAAAAATGAAAATCATTGGTTGGCGTTTATCATGAATTTTGATATTTGAGAGAGTTTGAAAATGGATGAAAAAGAGTATTAGTTTCATAAATAGCAAATTTTTTAGTGCTATGCATGTAATCACCCCTTTTTTATATATATTTGGTGGCCATTGATCTTTCTAGTTTTAAGAAAAAATATTACGTCTGGAAGTCCTGACGTAAGCTGCATCCGGACAATGACTGCGATCCACAAGAGGTTTTTTTTCTTCACCAATCCTTCCGGTGATTGTAACCACTATCCGGACGCAGCTTGCATCTAGAATCCAGATTCCGGACATAGTATTTTTTCGTTATTGTGGCCATCAAATTTCCCTAAAAGAAAAAAAAAGTTGTTTAGAGACATTTGAAGCATTATGTAAGAGAAAATATAATGTTTAAAGTTAGAAGATATTGCTGAAAGTCAATTTTATTATTTAGTACAATATTAAAATGATTTCTAATTTTGAGCATTTTGTCACTTCATCCTGATATTTATTAAAATTTACTGAAGTTTTGAAGCATACCACCCAATTTATATTTATTTACATCTACAATTTGAAACTTAAATTTATACCAAGTCAATTATATCACATAAAAAAAAAATCATTATTTTAGCTATTAAAAACTGAAATATATCTTTTTCACGCATAGACAAAGTAGCAAATATACGTACCAATTAAAATTTAGGTGTTCGATATGAAACGACAGTGTGATCCACGACGACGTGGCCACATTCAAATCGTCGTTCAGACGTGCAATATGCTGCATGCTATAATTTTTGGGAGCAGCTCTTCCTCATTTCACCTCATCTTCTTCACATTAAATCGATGCCTTATGGTACACTTATATAGCATATTCCGACCCATCATCTCCCCTCCTATCTCTTGACAAATGTGCTTATGTTGTTAAGTTGTATGAAATGTACATGTCTTTCAGCTTTTAAAATCACAAAAAAAAAAAAAAAAGAAAGAAAGGGGCACTTACATGCATACCACTGAATTGTTAGCCATCCTCATCCCTTATATATAAGCTTTAATTTCTTATTTTCTTACGTATAAGGGTGTAAACGAGCCGAACATGAGCTGAGCCTCGTTTGCTTAACGAGCCGAACACGAGTTGTTCATGAACAAAGAGTTGTTTTGACAACCTTAATCACGTAGCCATAAGACATTAATGATTTGAGCAAGATTTAAAAATTATTATTTATATTAAAACATCATTTGAATCTAATTTAATAATTTTTATTCTATTTTCATAATTAATATTTTAATTGATTATAAATATTTGTAGCCTTGTAGTCAATTATATTTTTTTTAATTGTTCGTGTTCAGTTTGTTAACTTATTGAACGAAGATAACGAGCCGAACACGAGCTGTTCGCGAACAACGAGCCGCTTTGACAGCCCTGCTTACATATGTATAGATAAAAATTGAATTTGTTTGCTTTTAAATCTTTGAAGAAAGAAATTTCTGTTTTTATTTTAAATCTTAGGTGCGAGGTATGGGCATATATTGATGCATTGTGTGATATGCGTGTAAATCTTTTTTAATGGGGCTTTTACCCGCATGCCACCCAAATTTTAAGCATCAATATTTGTGAAACCTAAGCTTTAATGTTTAATCTCAGACCACCCCAATCTTTCACATCTAATCGAAAATACCATCTCTTAAACTTCTAAGAATTTAAATACAAGTTTTAATGCATGGGAAACGGGAAAAAATGATGTTTAGGTGTTAGATATGTAAATAGATAAGAACTGAGTGGTTTGTTTGTAAATCTTGTTAATTTCTTTTTTTTTTTTTTTTTTTTTTTTTTTTTTTTTTTGATTTGAATAGCTTTCAATATTGCCACTTGATGGAATTTGTGATATTAACTTTGAAAAACTTGTTAAAATTTATGTCAAGGTCAATTCTTTAGTGCTATTACTGTGCATGAACATAACATTCGTGGAGCATGCAAGGATGAGAGTCAAAAAGGCGAGGAGTGCAAAAACATTGAAGTTGTCTGAGGCGAAATATTTTGAGAAGATCCTATGGAGATTCAACATGAGTTCCTACGGAGGTTCAATTAGCACTCTCTTAGACAATCACGTCAAATTATCTAAGGAGTTATCACCTAACTTTGAAGCAGGACAAGCAAAGATGAAGAGAACTTTGTATGCTTCAAAAGTTAGAAGTTTGTTGTACGCGATGATTTGTATCAGACCAGATATTACATATGCAGTGAGAGTGGTTAGCAGGTGCATAGATAATTCAAACGGACATCAAATGGAGGCGGTAAAGTAGATTTTCGGGTACTTGAGAGTGGTTAGCAGGTACATAGATAATTCAAACGGACATCAAATGGAGGCGGTAAAGTAGATTTTCGGGTACTTGAGGGGAACAATCAACCAGATACTTTTCTATTGAAGTGCAAGGACCAGTCTACAGAAATTTGTAGATTTAGATCTAATAGAAGATGTGAATAGTAGGAAAAGTACAATAGGGAATAACTTTATATTAGCTAGCACAGTGGTGAGTTATTTTTAGGTTTTAGAAGAATGTTGCACTTTAAACTGTAGAGGCCAAATAAATTGCTATCATTGAGGCTAGCAAGGGGATGATTTAGCTACAGAGTCTTATGACAGAATTAGGCAAGGAAGAAGGGATTGGAAAGCTTCACAATGACAATATGAGTGTGATTCATCTTGCCAAGATTATTGCTTTTTATGCTAGGAGAAATCATAATCAGCTAAGATATCATTTTATACGTTCTCTTTTAGAAGATGGGAAGTTATTGAGCCACACCATGGTTCGTGACTATGAAGGTGATACAAATGGAGGTGCAGATATAGAGGATATGTGTTGGGTGCAATCAGTCTCAAAGTAGAAGATTGTTATGGTGTTGAGTCTGATTTGGAGCACTGAGCTTCCTGAGCGCTCGATGCTTTTGCAACCAGGTTGGACACTTTTATACCCAAGTTGGGCATTTTGTGGGCTCCCTTGGGCCCACCTCTCGAGCGTTCCAGGTATTTCTTCCTAAACCACGGGCGCTAAAGGGGCCCAATTTCAAACTCTTTTGTGTTTGATGCGGTTAGTCCAGGATTCGACTTAAGAGGCTTTTTTCAGCGATAAAATGTGTGAGTTCCAGTGTTGAAGTTCCTGTGCACGTGCTTTCTTCGACATTTTCCGGTGAATGTGAGAAGAGTGAGAGAAGAATTGCACATGCATTTCTCTTGTCGGATCAAAAGAGAAGAATTGGAATGAGGTTTTGTAATTTCCTTCGATTGTAGAGAAGAAATCTAAGTGAGATTTCTGGAAAACTTTCTTGATTTATGGTGAAATTTTTTTGTGGTGTGACTTCGTGATTTTTTCTGTTCTCGATTTTTTCCACATTAAATTCTTGTTTGCTTTTCTGATTTATCTTTGATGTGTTTCTATTTTGTATTTGGTTCTGGTTTTTTCTCAAATCAGTGTTATTATATTTTTGTGATGTGGTTTTAATTCTAATTGAATCGTTTAGATCCCAACAAATCATGAAAATTCTTACATGATTTAAAATTCATTTTCATTTTTTTTATTCTGATGCAATTTTGTGCCATAAAATTTGATTATTTTTTATTATTAAATATTAAAAAATAAATTTAGAATACAAATAAAAAATATTATCTTAATCAACTTTTTGGATAAAATTTTAGTAAAAATTCATTGGATTTTTATTCAAAATTTATGAAGTTTTGGTGAAACTCCAGCCTTTTAATTCGAAATTTTATGAAAATGGCTGAGATAAAAATATTATTAATAAATTTTTGCATCAGTTTCTTACAAAACAGAAAAATAAAGGGGCAATAATCCTCGCTTCATTCTCCAAGGTCAGAGCTATTCCCATGGGGCTAAACTTCAAAAAATCTGCCATGAAACCTTGCTTGCCTTTCTCTACTACCATCAT